TATATATATATATATATATATATATATATATATATAACTCGCCATGAGGATATAGCACGTTTGCGTCCAAGGCTATGGAGATGTCCCAGACATCGAGCTTTTGAATAGTCGAGCTGTAGATGGAAGTAATGCCCCGAAAAAGACAAAGAAAAAGCAGACGGAAGGGAGAAAATGCGGCTCTCAGAACGTAGAGGGTGGCACGGTGTGCGTAAGGCTCCAAAAAATGCTGTTGAGGTCTATGTACCGAGAAGTAAACAGAGATTGCATCCCTCACAGCTGCCACTGATAATTGCATCCTACGCGAGAATATGATTCGAATTAGCCCTTCAGTGCGAAAGGTGTGATGGCAGTTGAACGCAGTGCGCAGCAGCCAACAAGAGCGACGGAGAAATGCCTCCAGTCCGTCCCTTGCGTCAGAACAATCGATCCAGCGAACAACTTAGAAGCAGATGAAGTGGTTTAAGTTAAGAAAAGGCCCCATGGGTATGAAATAGGTCCTATAGTCGCCGGTGGCTCAATACTGCTCATCAATCTCATTCTCAGCGCAGCCCCATAGTTGTTTTGAGGTACGCAACAACATGAACTTTCAGAGATAAGCTCGAGCTGCCAACGGATGGGTGATGATGGCAGTTAAAAGGCGAGATTCAACCCTTCATATTCAAGCCGCCAAAAGCAAAAATATGCGTGATGCGCTTAATGCCCTCAGAAACATCACAAGGAAGGCAAATTACCTGTTGCAGCGGATTGACGAACTACTCGGCTATTTGCGGAGTCCAGCAATGAATTCATCATTGGACATCGCTGGACCTTTTATTAAAACTCTAATATACCCAGGCTAGAGGCATAAGACTGCTTTCCATAGCACAGTCGAAGCAGACAATGTTCTATATCCAGTGTGTTGCTTTGCCACCACCGCTACAAATTTATAAACTTTGCAGGAAAGCGAATCCAAATCCTTCATATTTTTGTACTGAAAGCAAAACTCTGTGCATTACTGCAAAGTGAGATCTAGAGGATGAAGAGCACAACGAGACGAATATATCTTACTAAGACGACGCACCCCTACAGTATTAATTATAAGATCGAGCATGAGGGCGTCCATGAAGATTATGAAATAATGTAAAAATAAAAGTAAATATCAATAAAATAACTCAAAATACTATTTAATCTTTACTACGAAGTTGTCTTAGCAATGCATCATCGCCTACCCACAGCGCCTACCTCCTATGAAGAACTCTATGCGTGTGCATGGACTATGCAGCCGTGCAAAATTATTAAGCCTTGTGTCAATATAGAGGTAGTAAAACGGTCTATATACAAAATAAATGAAGAAAAACAATTCAATTGTTGTGAGAATAGCTTTGTCTTGGAGAACAAAGAAACATAATGATGCTGTTATTGCATACAGCTTCCGGCAGCCCCAAACACGCCCACCAGAGCCTCCTGTATACCCAGAGGAAGCCCGCTTGCAAATATTGAATTTGTTAAAGTAATTTATTAAATGGATTACATTAATATTCTTTTTGCAACATTATATCATAAATTTACCTCTCAGTTTGACGGTTTCCTGGAATTCCAGGTGGATTGAAGTGGCGGGAGCCACACACAGACACGTATTGTTCGGTGCGTTTCCTCTGGCTTAAATTGCATAAAAAAAGAGCAGAGAAACTCTTTTCGTTTTGTTCTCATTGTTTATTTGTCTTTGATTTGATGAATTAAGGGCTAACACCTCCCCAAACTAATTTTACAGAGTCCAGAGGGGCCCCCCGCGGTGAATGTTCAGCGTTTTGAATACTCCTCTCTTTGCTGATATTCAGCTTCTTCAAATCAGTGAATTCAATTTCAAGAAAATTTTCGCGTTGTTTCGTCTTTGTCACTTCTCTTTCCGTTTGTTTCTCTTCCTGAATTAGGCTATTTCACTCCTCGTTTCCCCTCTCAACAGCTGTTTCGATGAATTCATTTAAAATGTCTTCTTTTTCTCTTGATTTTCTGATTTCCTGCCCTTAAGACAGCGAAGGTGTTGTGAAGAAGAAGAAAATATTCCGGTTTTTTGTTTGAATTCGCTGCAGAGCCTCCGCCCCAACTGTCGCGAGGGAGGAGGAAGGAAGGCATTAGATTAACAAATACGTGGAAAGAAATTTAAGAGGACAATTTGAATTTATTATTTAAAGTAAAAGAATCAGAAGCGTCGGAGTTAAAGGGGGGGTTTTCGCCTTTTTTTTCTTTTCCTCTTCTACAGCACCATGGCAATTCAACCAGAGCAGTTGTGCCGAGGTGAGAAATAACGAGAAAAATCAGCATCCAGTATATTTTTAAATTATTTAAAAAGTTTTTCCCTTGGTTTTCACAATTGCTGAGCTCCTTTCGTGTTGGTTTGAATCCAGTGTTTGGTCGTTTCTGTACAATGGAGTTGCTGCCGTCGCATACCATCTGAAATAGCTCAGGACTTGGGGTTTAGGGTTTAGGGTTTAGGGTTTATGTGTTAGATTAAAAGAAATAGTTAGAGAAAAATAAATACACAAACTGCATATTTTCTTCACCAGTTCAATTCAGGTTTCTTCGCGTCCGGAGTTTGCCTGTTTGCATTTCTTTGTTTGTGTGCTGCGTTTGTTTAATATTTAGTATTTAACATATAATTTGTTTGTTTTTATTCATTTATATATTTGTTTTTGCTTTCGTTTTGTTTGGATTTCTCTCGCAGTGCTGGAGGGCTCGTACAGCCCTAATGCAGATATACGTCGTGAAGCAGAGGCGGTTTTGAAGTCTGTAAGGGCAACGCACTGTCTATTTTTTTGTTTATTTTCTATTTATTTGTATTTTATTTTTAAAGATAATAATGCTGGATTGATTGAAGAGGAATTCAATGGGTTCATTTTCCTTCGTTTCTTCCTCTCTGCCTTCCTCGCCGGTGTTCCTGTTTCTATGGAAACACTTTTGTAGTATCTGTTCAAAAATTAATGCAATAAATTTAACTACGTAACATCATACTACAATAATCAAGCAGCAAACCAAGACGAAATAATAATAAACACAACTACAAACAAAAAGATATTGAACATAGGGCACGAGAAATGCACAGAAGGTAGCAAAGTTAAGAAGATAAACAAAAAAAGAAATGAGAGAAAACAGAAACAAAACTTTTTTTGTAGTGTTTGTTCTGTGCATTGTTTTATCTTTGTGCCTGCACGTTGTTGTTGGTTTAAACAGAAAAAGGAATAAATGAATGAACGAATAAATATTAAACTAGAAAAGTATGAAGCAAATTGCTTGCATACATGAACAAAAAAATAAATTTGAGGAGAACGTTGAGATCTGTTTACTGAATTTCTCGCTATCTGATTTATTTTCTTTGTTTCTTCTTCAGCTCTCTCCAACAAAAGGCCTTTTGAGTGCTTTGGTTCACATCATTGGACATGATGGGGTACGAATATGCTGAGGGTTTAGGGTTTAGGGTTTAGGGTTTAGGGTTTAGGGTTTATATATTACATTGCGATTTCAAAGTGCAGTATCATACATTATTTTTAACAAAAGTTTAGGCGATTAGGAGTTGCATACCCCCGGCCATTCCTCCCAGCGTTTAGGGTTTAGGGTTTAGGGCTTAGGGCTTGAGGTTTAGGGTTTATTGCTTAGGGTTTGAAGTTTAGGGCTTAGGGTTTGTTGTAAGGGTCTATTGTCTAGGGTTTATTGTTGAGGGCTTAGGGTTTAGGGTTTGTTGTTGTGCAGGTTGATATCTCTGTTCGCACTGCTGCGTCTGTGACACTAAAAAACGAACTGCGGCAGCACTGGGAGGAGAGCGATGAAGTGAATGATGTATCAAATGAAGCAGCTTCCTCTCCTGCTGCTGCTGCTGCTTCTGCTGCTGCTGTTTATGGAGAGGAGGAGAAGCAACAGCTGCGAAATACAATTTATTCTATCATAAAAGCGCTCAAACCCGATGCTGCACCTGTCAGATTGCAGTTAATCGAATGCGTTCGCATCATCGCTCTTCATGATTATCCAGACAAGTCAGCTTCCCCCTAATATTATATTATGTTATGTTGTATTATATTATATTGCATTATATTATTATTGTATTATTAATATTATACTGGTGTGCATTGATTTGTGTGTATGATGGATATCGTGCGCAAATGATATAATAATAGTAATAATAATAGGAATATTAATCTAACCATACAATAATATAATATAATAATAATAATAATATAACGATATAGTAATAATAATATAATAGTAATAACAATAATAACAATATAATATTGGGGAATGTATTGATTTATGTGTATGCTGACGCAACATGATAACAAATAAAAATAGTACACCACTATGAAAAGGCTAAGAAGAAGAAGAAGCATAAATAAATATTTTAATAAAATATATATTTAAAGATATGTTTATTGTGTGTCGCTGTTGCTGTCGCTCAGATGGAGTAGTATATTGAACGAAGTTTGTGCAGATTTGTCTGCATGCAGTGAGGCTAGCAGTTTATTTTGTTGTTTAATGGTGTTAAGAAAGTTAGTAGGGGTATATGAATTTCGAGGAAGAGACAGTAGAAAAGCTCTTGATGGTATTATTGATGCAGCGTGGCCTTTGCTGCTGCCTGCTGCAGCAAAGCTGCTGCAGCAAGCTAAACCTGAAGATGCAGAGCTCATTACTCTTTTTAAACTCGCTCTTAAAATCTATTGGTCTTCTACTCAACTTTGTCTCTCCAACTCTCCTCTTCTACTTTCAACTATGGACAGTTGGTTCGAGATGCTCTCCGCATGCATTCGAATGCCAGGTATATATACATATATATATATATATATATATATATAT